ACGGACCCTTGGACAAAGTACAAGTGCTCGATGAAGCAATCAACCTAACATATACAAATAAAAGAATCAGAACGGTTAACCATATGATGGCCACATATGAGCAAACAAAGACAGGAATTAGTTATTTTTATCCAAAAAGTCAAGTTCAAGATGTTGGAATTCATACAAAACCATTGAACTTATGAGAACTGATGCAAAGTAATAAATTTATAACAAGTGATGCAATGTATTAAGCTTTTGTACGATGCAGTATTTTCTGGGTGTTTTATAGTAAAGTTGCGGTAAACTTCAAAGACGATGCAGTGATTTATAAGCTCTTTGTAAATTAATTTTTTTCTCAAAAAATTGACTTTTTTCGAAGTTTCAGTAGGTTTCGGCATAGTTCAGGTAGATAGAGCACTATTTTAAAAAGCCCAAAACTCTTACCACTGACTTACCATGAACCAAAAAAACTAATTACATGACCTTCATTCCACAACCTGCACGTAATTAACTATTGATATTCACCAATTAGATAACGCGCGCCGAAATGTTTGCGAAAAAACAAGACATTTCCGCAGAAAATCCAAAAAAAAATCGTTTTTCTTACCATACCAATTCTATTCCTTATCTTAATATCTAATACATTGTAGGCTCTATTCCCTATCTTAATACATAGCTTGAAGATCGGATGCTCTATTCCCTATCTTAATACATAGGAGTCTTCATGGACCCACCCCCCCCCCCCTCCCTTTAGCTCCAACATCTACTACTCAAGCGAAAAAAAAAGAACAGAAAAAACCGAAAAACTTGTTGTCATGATGAACTATAATTTCTATGAAGATTTTAAGCATTTTTTGCGATCCAGAAGAGAGTGCGAAAATACGTTTTGATTGAAATGACTCACAAATAGGTCACCAAGTTGATAAAATATATGCCGAAATCAATTGGGCAGAAAAAAGTGTTAACAAAAACAAAAAATTAAATTAAGTCACTTTTTAAATTAACAAATTACATAAAAGAATTAAAAACACTTTCAATTACAAAAAATAGCTTACAGCACAAACAAAGTAATAAATGTGGAAACTGAGCCAACAAAACATTAGCAGACAATCTATAGGCCGATGAATTTTTTGATACTAAATATTTAAGAAAAAAACAGGCGCTGACCGGTTTCTTCTGACCGGCTGACAGGCGCTGTTGAAACTTCAACATTTTGAGCATGTTTGCTGCAGAATTAAATGCAGCACAAATGATAACGGAAGAAAGGATTTAGTGATTTTGTTAAACTACTTAATAACCGAAAAAAGCCTATATTCCGATTAGGTAACGCTTGCTAATCGAGCGTAATAACTGCTTTCTTGGAACTGAAAAAATGATTTAAAAACAGATGCGAAGTTGTTGCACTTCGCATACACAAGCAAAAAGATAACGCTACCGGGAAAAACCGAATAAGTAAGACTTCGAGTCTTCTTAAAATGAGTCTACATAAAAATTTCTTAAGTGACGCACGCTAATTATGAGTCTACATAATTTCGGAGCGACGCAAGCAAATTATGACGCATTAGCAGTACCACTCAGTTTGAAAAAAAAAAATTACTAACTAACATGCCTGAATTTATAGGCCGGACGCATTTTAGCTAGCATACGAAAGTTCATTAAAAACATCCGACCCCACCCAGGTTCGAAGCCTCTTTTATTTTGTTGGGGGGTCTCCATCCCTCCCTCTACGCTACAGATCCATGATACCTTGAAGCTGACGTCCTATTTGTAATGTAATAGTATGTGATAACATCCTTAGCATTGGCTGTACTTAATAGCTGGTTATTGGCCAAAATTAACACTTTCAAAATGAACACAATTTTCGCTACAATATTTGCGTCCCACCAATATTTGCGACTTAGGTTGAAAAAAAGAGAGTTCATACTACACCACAACCTTTTTTCTCCGAGTTTTTGCGATCTGATAAACAATTTCAACATTAATCACAATTTCAGATCACAAATCACAATTTCAGAACATTAATGCTCAATTGAAAGCTTTCTTTAAGCTCACAGAATGGTGTATCAAAAAAGCCAAAGATTAACTCTCCAAAAAGTCTTGGGCCCGATTACCTACATCACACCATGACTACATCAAAAACATTTCCAAGTTTCAAGAAAATTGCTTTAATCGGAAACTAAGCCGAAAAATTTAAGCGCGCAAACGAATTTAAGCACACAATCGAAAAACAGGTCCGATTTAGATTCGAACCCTCGCCTTGGAGCACCAGGCTTGGTTCTCTCGGCTACACAGGCAGCATCAGACCCAGAACTTAAAATGATTATGAGCCAAACTATCAAGTTATTCATTGATCCGCAAAACTTGATAATATACAATTATTGCAAGATATACAATTATTAGCAAAATTTCCGGAAAAATTCAAGATATACAATTATTTGCAAAATTTCAAGATGTACAATTATTGATACCAAATGCAAAATCACCCCAGCATCGTCTGCGTTAAGTAAGCAGAATCGGTCGCTTCAATTGGAACACATAATGAAACAAAAACGAGTAAATAACGAAGAAAATTGATAAAATTTGCAACACTAAAACAAATATTATATTACAAATAGGTGACATTAGGCGGAGGTGCCACATTTCATGAATTGTATCGTAGAGCCAAAGAAGAAGAAAAATTACACAAAGGATGCAATTAAAATGCCAATTCTTGGAAATATACAAACAGTACAACAAAATGAGCACTTTCACGGCTGAGGAGAGAATCTGCACATGTGTAAAAAAAAACATAGCCAACAGACAGTTGCTAACGAGCCGATGAACGCAAGTAAACAGAAAAAATTACTGACTTGAATTTGAAAACTTTTCGAAAGCTCTTTGAATTTATAGAACAAAATAGAATTGACTTTTTCAAAAAAATTTCAATTGGAGAAAATTGGATTTATAAATAAAATTTTTGTTTCGCTGGGAAATCTAATAACTAAATTCCATTTTCGAAAAAAGAAGTCGATCACGTTTTTCGTAATCTTAACATTTTCAATGTTCGATAGTGGAGTTCGCCTTCCTTTCAACAAAGAAAATGAACCTAAAAAGAAATCAAAAAACAAACCGCGAAAAAGTTAATTTGAGTCTAAAGAAATTTAAAGACCTCTTGAAAAAAAACGAAAAATAATAATCGCGACTTATATAAGAGTCTGAATTACGTTCACCGACTCTTAAGAATTGAGTCAAATTTTTGATTATTTTTGCTGTGATAACAAAACATGAATTTCAATATCCACAGACACTGTTAAATAGACTTAAATCTATCTTTTCAACCGCTTTAAACCAACTGAGAATCAAAGAACTTACAAAAACGGATGAAAAAAGCAATATCTAGAACCAAAACTTGCATCTTAACAAATTTTACACAGACGCCAAGCTGCGCTTTACAAACACTGGCGAGAACACGACAAAAAGCAGCTCTTTAAAGTGAATTAATCAAATGAGAAATAAGCCTCGAATAAGTAAATATTCCGCTATGTGTCGGATTCAATCCTGCAACCCAGAGATTTTGAGTCTCACACATTTACAGCTCAGTCACTGACACTTAACGATTCACAGACACCAGCCACAAAAAAGCAGTTAACACATGCTATGAAATTACCAATGCTACAGACCACTTTTATTTGCAAGTTAGGTTAGAAAAAAAGTTCGTACTAATACACTACGCTCGCTAGTGGAAAGAGAACGCTAAACAACGATCGAAAAATTCAGAATGTTTTTGCTGAATTCGCCCCATCTTTAAAAATATTGCAATTTAGTAAATAATTCCAATTATAAACAGCCAATAAATTTAGAATTACGATTAGAATTCAAAAATTGACAACTTTATGTTTAATGAAGTTTCAACTTCAAACACTAGCTTAGCGTGCATTGCTCTAAAACAGTAGCATTTTATGAAATGATAATGTCCACCTTTTAAAAACCGGAAGCTAAGCAGAAAAAAAACAGCCAACCGACAATGAAGGAAACCGCAAAATAAAAATGATTGATTTATTGATTGATATTCAGAACTTTGAAAAATGTTCGAAAATAAGAAAACTTCTGAGTATCCGGTCAAGGCTCTTACGATTGCCAAATTGTTCATAGCGTAAACCCATTTTAAGAAATCTGGATCAATAGTTAAATCTTATCCCGCTGGTAAAACTCAGAGTTAAATCGAGTTTCAAAACTAGAAGTAACTCATACTTCTTCAGGATATTTTCGTGCAATTTCGCAGAAGCCCTATTAAGTGGATCAATGTAGATATAACGAGACCGGTGAGCAAAAATCGATTTATACGGCTGAAATTTTTACACAGAGGCGAAGTAACACTTCACATACGCAAGCAAAAATAGACCGATAACGCTACGGGGAAAAACGGAATGAGTAAAACTTTGAGTCTACAAAATTTCTAGAGTGACGCAAGCCAATTAAGACGAATTAGCAGTACCAGTCAATTTGAGGAAAAAAATTTACCAACTAACATGCCTCAATTTATAGAGCGGACGCATTTAAACTAGTAAACGAAAATGTTCATCAAAAACATCAGACCCTGCCAAGTTCGAACCCTCTTATTTTAATGCTTGCCTTCTTCCCTAGCTCTACGCTACAGATCCATGATGCCTTGAAGCTAACGTGCTATTTGTAATATAATAGTCTGTGTTAATATCCTTAGCATTGGTTGTACTTAATAGCTAGATCAAAATGAACACTTTCAAAATGAACACATTTTGTCGCAACAATATTTGTGACTTAGGTTGGAAAAAAAAGGAGAAAAGTTCATAATATAACACAATCTTGTGTAAACAGGAAAAAGTCTGGTACTCGGTTGCAATATACTTCATCTCGCAACTGCAGAAAAAACTGCAAGAAAAAAATAAAACTATTGTACAGGATTATTTTAAAAACACTTGACTGTCCACGATTTGCAAAATAAATAGTTTACCTGAGATTCTAGTTGCTTTGTGAACTTACCCTGATAAAAATCAACTTACTTTTCTCGCCGCACTCTTTGTCATCTTTTTCGCCACTTTCACCATGATCACTATCTTCATCATCCTCTTCCTCCTCTTCGTCACTCTCAGAAATCTCGTCTGGATTGAACTCATCATCGTCGTCCTCGTCATCGCCAAGTGCACTCAGCTCCTCCTTCATCTGCTGAGTCCTCTTGGCGAGGAACGACATGAAATCATTGTTCATCAGCGAGTTCAACAGTTCTCCCACACCTTCGCTTGACACACCTTCTCAAAAACAACGGTCACATTATCGATATTTTTAAGAAACTGGGTATCAGCAAGTATCAGTGAATTAACCCAAATATATGGATCAAGATTAAGATTAAACTGTTCTTTTTGACTTATCAGTGTGCCGCTGTTAACCCGATTTTAAAAAGTCTAAATTTACTTTGCCAGTTATAGTGCATGGTTCGGTATGCCGACATAAAAAACAAAGCTCTTGAAAACACCCCTCTTTCAATATTTCAAATGGCAACAATTGATACTGTTGATTAAAAATGATTGTAAACCACAAATCATACCTTCGTCATCTTCATCTTCATCATCGTCAGCAACTCCGTTTTCGTGCTTTTCACCCTCTCCATGTTCCTCCTCCTCCTTCTCCTCCTCTTCTCCGTCTTCACTGTCTTCTTCCAAATCATCCAGCTGTGCCTCCTCGTTCTCTTCTTCTTCGTCGTCTTCTTCCTCTTCTTCGATCTCGTCCTGATCATCTATGATCTTCTGCAGCAGCTCCTGTCCTTCCTCCGAGATCACAAACTGGTCTAACTTCAAATACACATTCTTCAGCGCCTGCTCGTAGTCGCCACTCTTGAAACTGTCCTCGTTCATTAGGAACTGCACAAACTTGGAGGAGCACATCTGTGACACTTCGTGACCTGAAAAAAAATGGAAGGATAAAAATTTGGAAAAATTTTGATAGAACCCGATAGAAAAATTTGACAAAGAAGCGAATAAGAAAGAGTGAAAAACATTCAAAACAACGGCAATGTGGTGACAAGTTCGACACAAGTATGCGGGTTTTTGCCGGCCTTCTCATGGCTCTTCTTTCAAGATTCCGATTTCAAATTCGTCGTATCGAACTTTTTAGTGACTGTTCCATGTATTCGTCAATGGCGTGATAAAGTTTTGGTAGAAACGGCGCGAGTGAGTCTGATAGTTTCCGGCTTAATATCTCTCTTCATGTCGTCAGGTTAAGGATTTGGGTGGTAATTTGCTCAGCTGTTTTCCCATGTTTAGAGATGACACTTTCGGCAATTGACTCCGAAGCGGTGTTTTGCGGTCTTGGGCGCCTTCGTTGGTTGCTTACCAAAGTTTTCCCATCTCTCGGATAAGCATTTTTCCAGTAAAAGAGAAAGGACGTTCTATTTTGTTTTTGGGGTGTTTTTCCAGCCTCCGAGGACTTCCCATTTGACTGTTCTTTTTATAGTATGCGGAGCACGTGGAGCAAGAGGCAACTTTTGTCAACGTGCCAGGGAATGGTTCCTAATCCCTAAGATTTTCCTAGCATCTTGCATATTCACGCCATGTTCCTACATCTGGATAAGTGGCGGCTTTTTCTTCGATCTTCGATCTCGGCTAAGATTGTTGTCGTCAGAGAAGAGTTACAGAGTCAGTTGAGCGGATTGTGCGAGACTGTTCGATTTTTCAAAATAGTTCGCGTTGGGACTGCCTCCAAGTTGGTATTTCGAGTGGATTCCAGGTTCTTTCGTTGGGCCACTCATCTTCATCTACTTTGCATGTCAGATAAAATTTACAATGGGAAAACAATTGGTTGAAGCCCCTTTCTATCATGCCCAATTCTAAGAAAAACTAATAAAATTGTTTGTATATTGAACGTTAGAGCCAAAGATGCTATTCAAAATGAAATAATTGAGTTTGGTTAATATTCAACAGAAAAATTGTTTTTTTTGATCTTGTAAAATCGAAATATTCAAAAACTACAAATTTAAGTCAAAATTCACGCAAGATACTAAAAATTCGCAATAAAGACAAACGAAGAAGATAAAAAATGAAAGTATTTTAAAAAAACGAGTTATTGGCAGCAGAAATCTAATTTAAATTAAGTTATAATTTTTATCTATCGATTATGGTTATTTAAAAATCCTGTTTGCGTCGCAGGGGTCAAAATATAAATGACACTGTGCTGCAGTGCAAAAAAAGCGGTTGGAACTTGCGAGTTGATATTTCCTCATGTTTTTTCTCAATTCTAGAAAGCTCAAAGAAGTTTCTTATATTTGCGCAAAACAGTTCACTTTCGCCTCCCGTAATGTTTTGAATACAACTTTTTCAGAGGATGTTTGCATCCTTTCATCTTTCATTGCTCTAAGTTTGGAGCCCAGATGTTCTTTGCTTACGCAAACTAGATTCCCTTAATTATCGTAGAACCATGTGATGTTTTGATCTTTTAAATTTATCAGCAACCTTACCAATTGTTTACACTGTACTTTTGCGTGACTTTCAGTTTACGTTAACAATTTCAAGATTAATAATATTTTCCGAGTTTCAATTCCTATTAAAGATGCAAAGATCTCCGCAAAGATGATCACAGAGGCGAAGCTGCGCTTCCCAAACACTTGCGAGAACAGGAACAAAAAGCAGCTCTATCAAGTGACATAAGAAAAGTAGAAATAAGCCTCGAATTCGCAAACACTCGAGGCTTAGCAAAAACTCTATTTAGCAAAAATCTGCTATCTAGCAAATTTGAGTCTCACGCACTAACCACTCAGCTACGGATGCTTAAAATCCCCAAAAACTATCCACCAATACCGCAGCTACAAAAGCTAATAAATTTCCAATTTGATGCAGCAAAAGTAGCACCAAATACAATAAGAAACAATTTTGCATGTAATAAATCGCAAATCCTAAAGCCACATTATGGTGCTAGGGATTTTAGCAGACCGGTTTTTTAGCAGACTCAGAACAATTATGAAGTGTGATAGCTAACTTCAAACGTAGCATTGGCGATTTGCGACCGCTTGCTCCGCTGCGCTTCAATTCAACACGAGTGTTATTGTGCGCGTAAATCTTTGTTTAGCCGCTAATTTAGACTGCTGCGTTTTTGAAGTTGATACTTTTGTTGACATATCTTGAGATGAGTGACTTAATTAGGGAAGCATGGCCCCAGACTGAGTCTTTTTTAGTCTGTCAATCAATCATTTATCACTTTATTACGTTGGTCTGCTAAAAGACTCATTTTTCACTTTTTATGCTAAAAGATTGGTCTGCTAAACGATCGGTCCCCCCACATTTTGTATAAATTATGCATTTCAAAAAATTGCGAAATATAAAACAACAATTTTTGAAATCGAGATTTTATTATTGTTCTTGTTTGAAATAAATAGCTTTCTTCGGTTCACTTGATGAATTAAAAATGCATCAACTCTGTAAACTCATAACTATTCGAATGTCAAAGCACATGCTATCAATAAGCTGTAAAGGTGCAACATATTGCCAATTATTTTGTATTGCCAATTTGAAGCAGCAAATATTGTTGCTTCAAGTCGCAACAATATTTGTGACTTAAGTTGGAAAAAAAGAAAGTTCGAACTATAACACTTTACTTCGCAAGTGTAAATAGGAATGGAAATTTGGAAAAAAAAAACATTGAACTTGATGGAGTGGCCGTATCACGAAGCTGATGATAAAACATACACAGAAGCGATTATGCGATGCATCCTATTTCAACCGAGTCTCAAAACTAGTCAATGATCTGCAATTTAAACTCGGCGTTGACGCTGTTTCTCCTAATGATAGCCGACTACTTGAAGACTTGCACTATTGAGACATACAGCTTACAGAACACCTCTTGCACGCTCTGTGTTTCCTAAATTGAATTTCTTTATTTGTATTTATTCTTTTCGTAAATTACCCTTTACGGTAAATAAGCCTTAAACTACAACTACCAAAAAAATTCACGTATGCTCAACTGTTAAATTAATTCTTCGTAGAGGTGGCAGTTCGTTACCGTGTATCATAGGGGAAAGGGAGAAGTGAAGAGATCAATTGCCTGTAAAGAGACTGCAAAACTGCTATTAAAATGGAGAGGAATTTCTGCAAAATAAAAAAGGAATTTCAAACTGCTGGCAAAGGACCGAAATTTCAAGGTACAAATATAGACCTAATATTTGTTGTTTTTGTAATAAAAAACAATCAAACTTGGCAAACTTTAAAACAAATCAAACTTTCGCAGAGGATGGCATATGGACGAAACTGGTTCTAGAAGTGCGAGATCAGAGAGGCGTGTTTAGAATAAAATAAAGGGCAGATACTTGCTGTCCGGATCTTGTTATCCCCCCTATTATCCCCCCTATTTCGATTTTCAGAAATTCAACTTTGGCTGCCCCATTTTCAATAGCTTAGAACAAGAAAATATATTTAAATAAAAAATTGTATGTAGGTATTATATAAAAAGTGAGTAATACAAATACGAACGCGCGAAAATGAAAACCCAAATAATTTTTGACATTTTCGAATTGCATATTTTAAACACAAACGGTTGTCAAAAATGATAAATGCATAGGGGGGATAGTTAACAAGGTCAAAAAGTGGGAAATAGTTAACAAGATCTCTTGTCCTCCTGATCGTATAAAAGATCGCAATGTTTCAAGCATACCTCCATGGCCGTCAAACACACCGAACAAACTGCACTCCGGCACCTTTTCCAGCTCATCTGGCGGTAACTTCAAATCTTTGTTGTTCTGGATATGTTTTTTCAGTGCTGGTATACACAAGTGGGCATCCTAAAATAAAACACAATTTACAGAGAAAATTCTCTGTATAGCCACTCGGATTGATTAGCAAAAGGCACTTTGAAAACATCTAATTAAAATGACCATTTTTTCACAGCCATTGAATTTGAAGACTAGCAACGTTTTGAATTTGAAGACGACTTTTTATGAGAGAAAATTAAATTCAGAAGTACACTAATTACGTAAAAAGTTCATCTTTAGAAGGAAACAAATTCGCCTGCCTCAAATAGTTCGTAACGTCATGTCATATGTGCGTCATGAGTAACAAGACTTCAACTGATTACCTCTAGAACAGTGATTTATTACCACACTCCCATCCCGCCTTCGGAAATAAATCAAAACTTATCAGTCTTGGGCGGTATTTTCTGAAGAGAACAAACTAACTTCAGTCTGCCTGCCAAAGAGGAAACTATCGAACATGATATAACTTTTATGGTCACAGCGCAAAATTGGTGACGACTGATGGAATTAAATGCGAAAGATTAAGTTTGAAATAGATCAAGTATGCTTGCTCAGACGACAATTCGTCGAAAGCAACAATTAGTTATTCTCTAATCGACTATCTTTTAATTAGAAGCTTATTATCTATGAAAAACATTCCATATTGAGTCAGTCGCCTCCTAAATCAATTTTGAATTTAATGTGGTTTCGAACTGTTGATTTTTTTAATGACACAAATTGTCGTTTTTGACAATTTATCGCCGCGCGCTTTATAATTGCTACCTCCATATTAAGTCTCCATCCCTGCAGTCCTATCACTCCATAAGACATGTTCACATCTCTGTCAGTGTCACACTCGCCTGGGCCATCCCTCTTGGGTTGAGACAGAAAATTACCACCCATTGTTCAGCTTCTTCAGTTCAAGTCAAATCAGCAGGTCACTTTACACAGTGAGCAGTTAAGGTTTAAAGATAAAAATGGTTCAGATAGTGCAGCCAGTGTTTCTGCTAGCTATCGCTTATTGTAAAAGTCCACGTATCTCAATACTCTTGCAGATGATCTGGTGTAGTCAACGGCAAATAAAACAAATAATCTGAAAGAATACAACTCATATTTCGAGCATCATTAACATTCACTTTAAAACCAATTGTCCACGAGGTAAGCAACCAACATGCCAGCTATTCAGCTCTTCGCGATGTTGTGCCCTCATTAAGAACTGCATGTACTTCGTTTCTCATTACTATTTATAGGGAACAAAATCGGACATTTTATTTTGATAATTTATCGACAAATGATTAAAATTCCATAGGCAGCAGAAAACATTTCTCAGTGTAATCTCAAATGACAAAAAAATATATGAAAAAACATTCATAGTTCCCGGCAATTAGAACTTTATCAATAAATATGTCTTCCCAGCTGAGCATGCAAAACTTAGAAAAAAAAATTGAAAACTATCTAACCATGTTAGGTTTTCATTGAATAGATGACTCAGCTACCGGCAAGTCCAGAGTGCAAACTCATGACCATACTGCCACCATTACCAGCATGCTTCAACAATGACTGATGATAATTACCAAAAACGAACTACAATTGAACTATCGAAAACTCGGCACAAAATGTGCAAAACTGGACCAGGCTCATAACTTCCATAGATTGTAAAGCTCTTAAAACTTTTTTCCGTTTTTCGGTGGTGGCATGCTAATATTATTTTTCTTCCATTCTGAACCACAGGTGAACTTGGCTTTTTCCACTATGAAATTCTTTTCCATTTTCAATATTTTTTCCATCTTTTTCAGCGCATGTCAATAATGACTCGGCATTGTTTTTCAACTCGCAGCAGCAATTAGCTGCCAAATTTGACATCAAAAACATCGCAAGGCAATTAACCTGTGGGAAGTTTTTGCAAATGTACAGGAAGTACAAATAAATTCTACCTCAATCAATATAATGCAGGTTTTGCAAAAAAAAATTTCTTGTGGACAATATAAAAAAAATTGAACAAAAGAGTCGAGCATGAAAACACACTGCAACATGAAAAATTAGCAAGTCTTGTTCTGCAGCGTTGAAATTTAAGGCCGTGCCCTATTTTCTGAGGAAATTACACAAAAAGTAGAGACATCATCGCTTTATTACTAACTTACGGGGTATGCGCTTAAATGCAACACCCTATATAAAAGTGCCCAGTCTGTTATCGAGTACTAGACCGACACATATTAAAAGATGGTCCCAGAAGATGCTAAATTTGCACAGTACACAAAAGTAGTAGTACCAGTTGAATAGTACATAATCAATTGGTTTGATCTAATCATTTCTCAGACAACCGTGTTCATTTACAGCCAAAATCAATACTAGACTGGAACCAAGGAAATATCACCCAAACTATTTACTAATTTTGTGTGTCATGGCAATTAGCCAACATAATTTCCACCGGGAGATGGGGAGAATCCCCCATACGAAGAACCGAATGCGCGATAATTTAGTCAGCCATTCTGAATTCATTCTTCGTAAGTTTGACGTACGCGATAAAATCAATAAACTTTGCTAAATTAAAAGGACATTGATTACGCGCAATTGGTCCTTTGCGCTTGAGTAATGCCCAGTGTGATAATTTGACAGTTCCAAAAACAAACAAGGATAGCCGGTTACTGTGCAAGTAGCACAGAATGTTCCGACCAGACTTAAAAAATTGTACAAAATTGTCATGTAATAAATGCAAATTGGAAAAAAAATTTTGAAGACAAATAAAAAAAAATATTTTTTTAAAAATATTTTTTCCCCAAATTTTTGAAGTTTAGATACCTAAGATGAAGCTAAAAACTCCAAAAACTAACTTCATTAGACTAAAACTAAAATTTCAAGACTTAAATTAAGCATAAATAAGCTAATGTAAGCCTATTCACATGCTCGAAATAAGACGAAAAATAAAAAATTTCAAATCGGTTTTTCTCGACACCGGGCGACACCGGGAAAACTTATTGGAAAACTTTCAATGTGTTTCGAATCAAGACTGAAAGGGCTTTAATTTGATATAGCACTCAATCCAGTCCAATCCTTATTTGTGGTACCTGATTTTACGTGGAAAACAAAAAAAAGAAAAAAACCTAAAACACCCGAACACTAAGTTCCTCCTCATTTTCAATGGTCGGAACAAAAACAGTAAATAGTTTTTACAGTCACATCAAAATTAACAAAAACAATCGAGATATGAAAACTAACAATCTTTGAGAAAAATCCGTATGAAATGAAATTTAAGAAACAAAATTAACAGACAATCAGAAAAGTACAAATTAAACTAAAAAGATAGCAAAAAATGACTGAATACTTTGAAAGCATTTTTCAAACAATTACTTCTCTTTGAATTTGAAGAACATTTTATGATTGGCTTTGTGGATAAAACGAAAACATTTCGAGAAAACTGGATTAATATGTAAAGCAATTCTGGACATCATTCATTTCTTCGCGCCATATTCACTTTAGCTATTGGATAAGGCAATGAGTCTTATATTAAGCAAATGAACCTGAATTGAACTCAAATTTGAATTGAAGTCAAATTGGAAAAAAACTAACATAATATAACCCTGTGAAATACTTTTACACTACCAGCTTTTCAAAAACTGACGCGAAGCTCCCTTTTTTTACCTATTAATTTTAGTGAAAAATAATTTTAACTGTACAGAGAAAACAGGTCTTCTTCAGGCATATGAAATCTATAATAACTATCACGGGAAAAAATTCTAGTACACGATGAGACACGTTGCACGAAACGCAAAATGGTACAAAACAAAAATTTGCTATTGATGGCTTTGGTACACTGTATAACAAGATTCTTGTATCAGTACTTAATTATCCGAAAGAACGCCAAGAAGGCATTCCTGCACTCGAATTAAATTTTGGTACTGTATTACTGGCTTAACATTAGCTTTGCAGTCGCAACATGGTTTGAAAAAAATTGAAATCCATACTATCTTGATACATCCAAATCTTGCAATTCGGTTTAGATTTCCCTTTTGCTCTAAAAAAAATATGCTTTATAGTCAATTTGTCATCCGGTATACTTTTTAGCCTACATTTTTGGGCCTAAGAATTCCAAGCTTGGGATCAAATAAATTCTTCCAAATTCGTCAGGGGAGCGGTGGTGAATTGGTTACGTCTCCACCTCTCAATCGAAAGGTCGGATGTTCGAGGCCCACCATGATCCGTGCTCGTTGCTTGAGGGTAAAGCAACATTACCCAGCCCAGAAAAATAACCAAAAAAATGCATGTAGGTATTAAACAAGGCACAACAGCGGTTCGCCGTGATGAGCTGTACAGCTCTTGTGTTGGTCCTTTCCTCCGTGGATAAATGGTCTTAATCAATATTTATTATCTATTTATTCGCGACCAAACAAGAGCACACAGATTCAAGGTCTTTACTACTCAAAGTCTTTTAACAGATTCAAAGTCTTTATTCGTGTATTCCACAAGAAATGCAGGGCTGTACAAGGTAGTATCAAAAAAATTGGGCATGTTAACTATCCAGAAAACGAAATATCAGACTTCAAACCGTTCCCTGTTGAATGCCTAAACTGAACAATTCTTATGGGCATTTTATCTCGAAGAAAATTTCATTTTCCATCTTTCAAATATATTTTCGGTAATTCAAGCTCTGGTCTTCTTAGTCGACATTTTTCAATTAAAATTTTAGGTGACATCGTATCACGCTCTATGAAAACTTTTCCAGATCCATCTATATGGCCATGGTTTCTCTTATGGCCTTTAAAACCTCACATATGACGCCAACTGTTGACTTTTTAACTCGTCATCCTAATTGAGCTTTCGACATTAAAAAGTGTTTGGCCAACAAACATTTATTCATTTGATCCGTAATTATTCTTGAATTTTAGACAAACGAGGAGTCAGAAAAACTGGTATGTAGTTTGTGCTATTTTTTCTCCCGCCTTCAAAACAGCAAATCCTGGCTATTTCAAACTGTTACATGAGTTTTCTATCTATTAAATCAGCCGAAATCTTGTTAAGCGAAGGAGTTATCTTTCAAATCGACTTATTAGTTGAAGTTTTAGTTTCGTTCTGCGTTTTAGCAAACTTGCTATTACAGTTCAAAGATCCACTTCATTTATTTCAAATAGCATCATGGTTATTTTCATTGGCTTCACGTCAGAAACATTTGGTTGCTTGCTGGGCTTATTTGCAAGTTCCTTGCCCACATTTACAAAACAAAAATGCGCAAGGAAATTGCACCAATGTCGTGGTATTTTTCTTCTTTGTCCCAATAACTTCATTAATTCTTTTGAACAAATACATTTTCATTGAAATTAATTTTGCTTTTATGGTCGCAAGCTTTTTTTTCATATCAATTTTTTTTCATTGAAATTAATTTTCGCTTTTGTGGTCGCAAGCCTTTTTTCTTATCGATCGGACTAAACCGCTTTCTAAAAAATATGAAGCAGAGTGTATTTTTTCCAACCATTTTGATGCCTCAAGGAAAACTGCTCAGCTCCAGGTTTGATATTATACTGAAGCCACAAATGACCATGATTCGCAATCCAAAAAAGTCAAAAAGATTGTCTAAATGCCGAGAAAAATCTCGGTTTTTAGCCCAAAGTTGAGAAAATTGAGGAGATTCAGATGTCCCTACAAAAATGAGCGTTTCTTTACAGTTACAAAACTTAGTCCAAAATTCAAATAAGCAATTAATTATCTCTCATTATGGCAGTTTTTCATCTGATTCCGTCGGCTTTTCCCGAAAATACAAAATTTTACCAAGACGATGCGAGAAAAAAGTGCCAAAAACACCAGAACTTAACAATTTTTTCATATATTTGTCTCGAATTATCTTAAATAAAATTCATTTTAAGAAAAACTTGACAATTAAGACAATCGAAAGCTGAATAAGCATATGAACAATATAACAGAAGGGGTAACAAAGCCGACAATTCCGCTGAACAAAACCGCTGAACCCAAAAATAATAATTTCACAAAAAAAACTTTTAAAAAACAATTTTACATCCGCTTCTCATAAACACGAGCATTAATTTTTTCACTCGAAAAATGACGCAAAATGAGGCTACCGAACCGATAAAAAACAATCCCAAGCTTTTCAAGTTGAATAAATATCTGAAGAGTAACGAAATCGGATCTGGTAAAACTATAAACATAAACAAGGATAGCCGATTACTGTGCAAGTAGCACAGCATGTTCCGACAAGTCTTAAAAAATACAAAAAAAAATACAAAAAATACAAAATACTCAGTTTTCACGGCTTAAATTATGCTTAAATATGCTATTGTAAGCCAACATGGTCACCTAATTAGCTAGAAATTAGACCAAAAATCAAAAATTGCAAACCGGTTTTTCTCAACACTGAAAAATTTTTTCAAAATTTTTGGAAGTCGTTCGAATACCGACGGACTAAAAGGGCTTTAATATTATATATCACTCAACCCCGTCCGATCATTATTTCTGGTGCCTGATTTTCGGGGAAAACAAAAAGCAAAAAAAACTAAAACACCTGAATACAAAACTTCTCACCCATTTCCAATGGCCGGAACAAAAAAATAAATTTCGAATAGAACGGGTATTTGAAATTGAAACAGGCTCAAACTATATCTGTTATTGATAGAAGTTCATATTGAAAAACGTTCATTGATTCTGAAAAAATGTTAACTGTTAAAAAAAATCACGTTTCGGTTTATACCGCGCGCTATTTGTTCCAGTGGCTTCCAATACAGATCTGACCTGCACGCGCAAAACGCTAGAATGTCGAGTGTCTCCCGAAGGCTTGCACTTATTTATTAAGTTCTGAGCATTACGGTGCGAGAGCAGTCGCTAGATCTATCAATTTATATACGTTGATCGGGACTTCGCCGATTGGCGGTGACTGTTTGACTTAAGAATATCCTCATTTAAAATGTTTAAACACTTAAATGTCCAGACCATGTTCTTCGCTGATAAAACTTTTCAGCGGTCCATGACGCCATCCATTTCAGCTTTATTTTAGAAATCTATAACACATTGAAAAGTGAAGCGTTTCTTCGTTCAGTAACATTAATTATTCATTACAAGCTAAATTTCCAGTATTGACGAATTACGCAGCACTAGCACCCAAATCTTTGGATTATAAATTCAGAAGTACTTTTAACTTTATGGGAATTTTCCCTTATCGAAAGACCGTGCATCCATCTGAATGTCCCTTATATCACCCTTCGCGACTATTATATATTTAGAACTCAATATAACTTTCCAAAAAAGGAAATTTCCTTTCTCTTCAGTAGAAAAGCTTTCATTATCTGCCTGGCGGTACTTTTTCATTGTTATACACACGTGGTTATGAAACAATGCCATAACGATGTCATAACTGTTTAACAAAAATAGGGTAAACAGGGACCTATATTCACCCAGAAGACTTTCTTTCCCTAAAAAAAAACTTCAAATGGAGCGTGCTAAGCCAAGAACACCGAGTATATTATTTCTAATACGCTTAAATCGAACCATAAACTCAATTCTCATTAAGATATTAGGTATCTAAAGCTAACTTCCCTTTTGATTCTTCTCACTTGCTGTAAATTTATGAAAACATTGGTAATGAATAATAAATCTGATTCGTTCTGACGATGAAATTAAAATTACAACCTGAGCACAGATTGTACCGAGATGTCAAGTACAGATTTCGCAATATTTCAACCATTTAAATACAACACACACATGGTCTGGTATAGCGCAAAAATACTGCCAATTTTCATTCATACTCAAATAAATCATTTACTGTAACAATACTTTTCGCAATTAACAACAACATATTTGTGGGGCAAGATTAGCTGTTTTGCTTGGTGAAAAGCACAGTACAGCCATTTTTTTAAGTAAGTTAGGACGGCCAGATTTGAGAGCAAAAGTTCACTTTTGAAAAAAAAATTGGTACGATTCAGAAAACAGCTACACAGGCAGTCGTTGATTCCAACCAGATTAAGCAGATGTTGATTCTACAACCAAAAATAGAGTTCTGGAACTTAAATTGCTTTAATGTTGAATGTAAAATAAAAAGCCATAGATTTGAGTTAAAATTTACAAAGAGATAAAAGATCCAAAATTTCATTCACGATACTTGGTGGTATGTTTCGAATGAGCAACATTTCGGAGTATTGGTTTTTGAACGAAAAAGGGGTGAAGAGAAAAAGCGCATTAGATAGAAAGAGCAAGATATAGTGAAAGATGCTTGGGTGGTGAGACTTGCAATAGACTAGAATAGATCAGAAGAAGGCAGGATAGAAGAACTCTCCTCACTGTTTTCATGATTGGTTCGAGCGTTTCCTCAGTTGACAAGCTGCAGAGTATCAAGAGAATATTAAACTAAAAGAATTACTACGTAGAGAAAGTACGAAAGATGGAGATACTTTTCAGAAACTCAGGCAAAAGTCTCAAGACAGATGTAGCAGGTCAGATCACAGATCAATCTACATCTGCAGATACAGGAGCACCAACATGTATGTGGCTAGATACTCTTTACTTTGAAGCAACGATATCGACGACAGACAAATATAACTATCATTTTTCGCATTGCTATTATTTTGGGCGATGTCGTAGCTCCGGGACTTATTCATTCCAGCCAAACTATCTGTATGAAATACGATAGGAAATAAAAATGACCAGAGATGAGTTTCGTCGCCAAGTCTTATTCACACGAGCTATAATAGAGTTAAATAACTAAAACCATCACACTTTTTGCATGGAGGCCATACAGTATAGCTTCTTTCAAAGACAACACAGTAATCAGCTATAAATTGTATAAAATAAAATCTTTCAGGGTTTCTACATGTAATTAATTACCTACTCTAATACCCAAATTAAATCCGATAGGTAAACAGTTAATTCAATTTCCGAAAACGAATTCTAATCTGAGAGAGATAAAGATAGTGCCGATGATGGGGAACGTAGAGTGGAGCGGCCATCGTCCTCATCCTGGCACATTGGTTCATGCGGCCTCGATTGGTGTCGTGGATGAGACGCGATTCAGTCTCCTCTGTGCGATGCTGCTCTGAGTCACTGCTCCCAGACTGGGCTGAGGTGTGGTCCTGGTGATGGCATTCTGCAGGATGCGCATTGAGGACCCCACTCGTTGGGAGTCTGAAGGATGCGGCAGGACTGTGGTGGGGAGTTGGGCTCGGTTCATGATCCAATCAGATCGCAGCACCTGTGCAGCTGATGGTCTCTGTTTGGGGTCTACTTGCAGCATTGCTCTGCAGAGATTTACTGCAGAAGGGGTCACGAATCCCCAATTGCCTATAACCAAATAAGCCGTCAATTTTTGCTAGTTCCAGATTGAAACTTTAACTGACACTAATAGGGCTTCATTCAACAAAACTCTTATAAACCTAGAGCATTCAAAACCGACTGCAACGGGATTCGATACAAATATTCACTATGAACTTGTTTGCAGCTAAAAACATTGCCAACAGACAGTTGGAAACGAGTCAATGAACGCAAGGAAACAAAAATACTGATTTTTTTTTGAAAAAATTGCAATTTTCGATTTTCATTAAAAAAAAAACTACTTTCAAGCGGCTTTTTAATTTCAAATGCAATTTATGATCGTTACTTTTTTGATAAAATTACCCCTTTTGAGAAAACTGGATCAATACGTAAATTTTTCGTTCCGCTGAAAAATATGAAATTTAAATACTTCGAAATTAGAAGTCGATCACGTTTTTCGTGACCTTTACACTTTTGCTGTTCATTTGCCTTCCTTATAACAGAGGAAATGAACCGAAAAAAAATCAAGAATTAAAATGCGAAAAAGTTGAATTGAGCCTGAACAACTTTTAAGACTTTTCCTAATTTAAAAAAAAACATCAGAACCTATATAAAAGTCGACATTCATCGACTCTCAAAAAATTTCTTACCGACGGAAAAACTGAGTTTGCTCTCATTTATCCTCTGCAGCACCACATCTGGCTTCTCGGAAGCATCTCCTGCAAATGGAGTTTGCCCTGAGAGCATAACAAACATGATCACACCTAAATTCCAGATATCACAAGCTGCGTCGTAGCCTTGCTTCTTGATGATTTCGGGCGCCACGAACTTCTCCGTATAACATGGAGTCATCAAGAGTCCGTTCTCAGCTCTAATTTGTTTTGCGAATCCGAAATCCGCGACAACAATGTCCTTTGGCAAGCAATCTGCCGTTCTGTAGAGCAAGTTACTGGGCTGCAAGTCGCGGTGTACTACGCCACTCTCGTGTAGACTGGCTACTGCGGAAACTATGGCAAACATGAGCTCGGCAGCCTCCCTCTCGGAGACTGACCTCTTCTGAAGGAGGTGCAGCAACTCTCCTCCAGAGCAGAACTCGGTAACTAAGTCGTAAGTAGCACCACCGTCGTATACTTCATGTAGATTTATGATGTGATCACTGTTCTTGTTGCGCAGCAGAATTTCCACCTCCTCACTGGGGTCAAATCCTCCTTTAGTTATTCTCTTCACAGCATATTTACGACCAGAAGCTCGTTCCACACAAAGGAAAACTAAACAAAAACACTGTTACTCTCTCACAGCAACAAAAATTGACACCAAGTACGATATGAATGAGTTTTTTATATGACTAACCACACTGCGAACTAACTCGTCTGGCCATGTATTTGATAATCCAAAATAAACAAGAACTGATTTTTGTTGGAAATCTGATAACTTTTGATAGAACTGTTCAAATCTCCACCCCTGCAGTTTCGACTTAGGTAGTCATAAGTAATGATAGAATGCTACAACCTCAACATGCCACAAAAGTGAATTTATTGCATAGCACGTGTGCAACTTCAACAAAAAATTTAAATCGAAGTTTCTATAGAACGGTCAAAATTTCCAAAAAACGGTCAGAAGACTTTCCAAAATCCATAAAACTTTTTCTGCAAAAAGCAGGTTGTGGCCACTTCAGCAGAGAAGCTTCCCAACAACGGGATTCCCGATTGAATAGAATTAGTTGGTAGTTTTTGCGTAAAGTCAATAAGTTTCCGAACAACTGTCAAAGTTTCAAAACTTTGACTTACTTGAAGGCCATAACTTATTCTAAAACAAACTGGGCAAAGCCAATTATAAAGGCAAGATTTCAACAATCTGTTAGTTCGATTAAACTTATGATATCAGATATGTCAGGAAATTTAGCGAGAAAAGTCCGAAAAACAGTCAACAATTCAAAATTTTGACTTTTCCGAGAATCATAGCTTTTTGTGTGAGAAAAAGGGCGTAGCCACTTATGCAAACGAGGTTCACGTAACCTTTAATTTTAAATGAAACCAAAATCTCAGATTTCGGAAGATAGTTCTCGAGAAAAGTCGAAAGTAAAAAATCCAGAAAAAATGATTTTTCCCCGAGGGCAATGACTTTTCTTGTCAAGAAAATTTGGGGATAATCGAAAAAATAAATAAACTTCCCACAACCCTTTTTTTATTTCAACCCAAAATCTCAGATACTGCAGGGTAGTTTTCAAGATAATTCAAAAAGTATAAAAAAACTGGTTAAGAAATCGAAAATTTGTCCTTTCCTAGAGCAATAAACTTTTTGCGTAGAAAACTTTGTGGTCGCCAATGCAGGGGAGCTTGCCACTACCTTTTATCTCCATTGATCCCACAATATCCGATTTGAGAGATAAAATTATGGAGAAGTCCAAGATTCACAAAACGGTCAAGTCAGAAATTTGATTATCCCGAGGGCCATGACTTCATGTGTAAAAAACAAAAAATTGGGCGTAGCCGCTAATACATGGAAACTTTTCTAAAACCGTTCTAATCATTTGAACCAAAAACTAAACTTTGAGAGGAGTAGTTTTCGAAAAAAAAGACGAAAAAAAAATCAGAATATGGCTTGAATATTCCCCCAGACTTTTTCGAAGGCTGTAGTCAGAGGGGTTCAGTAAAAAGACACTCTAGGGAAGTATGCAGACACATAGAGAAATAAGGATTCTTTCAATAAACTCCCTTCTTTTTTCAAATCAGACACAAACTAAAATTTTTGCAAAAAGTGAAAAAAATTTTCCAAAACAAAAAGGAAATTTCAACAAATCGATTGATCAACATACAACCAAGTTAAAAAGTGCGGAGGGAAGTGTTAAAATTGAAGCTTTTTGAAATGACCCAAAACCTTTCAATTCAATTTTTAATCTCAGATTTGGCCAGGTAGCGTTCGAGGAAAATGGAAAAGCACTGAAACATGGCAATAGCTCCTCTTATTTCGGGGATAGTTCAACAGCTCTTTCTGTCAATTTACTTCTTTATCGAGGAAAACAAAAAAAAACTTTCCAAAACACAGTCTCATAAATTAGCTTTACCCACTTTCTCCGCTTTAAACAGAAAAAAAAAATATTTTTCTTTTCGAGGAAAACAAAAAACTTTCCAAAAAACGGTCTCATGAATTAGCTGTACCCACTTTCTCCGTTTTAAGTAGAAAAAATTAGTTTTTTTACTTAAGCATGGCAATAGTCCCTAATGAACGGAAGATGGCCACAACCTGTTCTTTTGACTGAACCCTTAATCTCAAATTTGACAGAAGTTTTCGAGAAAATGAGGGAGTTTCCGAAAAACAGTTAACATTTCAATCGTTTATGCGGGGAAGGTCTGTGCACCATTTTCTTTTGATTCAGCCATTTATCTGAAATTTGGCAGGGTAGTTAGAGAAAAAGTTTCCCAAAAAGATCAAACTTTCAAAAATGGACTATTTTTCAGTCCCACGCCAGTTTGCGGCATTAATTAGGCCATATCCGCTTATGCAGAGAGCCTTCTTACTACTGTTACTTCAATTTGGTAATAGAGAAAAGAAAAAAGTTCTAAAAAAACCATACTATCATAAAATGGCCTTTTCCCAAGTCTGTAACTTTTTTCTAGAACAACTCTCTTATGCAGGAAAGGCCTTCACAACCAGTTAATTCGATTGAACAATTTACTTAAGATTTAGGAAAGCCATTTGTGAGAAAAGATAAAAACATCCAAAAAAATTACCAAATGTCAAAAAATAGCCTGCCATTATCTTTTTCTTTAACGTTTAGAGCAGAGCAGCTTATGCTGGGGAGATTTCCACAACCTGTTTTTTTCGAACTCTTAATGTCCGATTTGACACATCAAATAATACACATCAAAATAATACACATCAAAAAATAAATAATACACATCAAAACAGTCCGTCCGGGACTCAAGCCAGGGACCTTCGAACTTCAATTATGTGCTTAACCACTAACACTACATTGGCAGCTGCAGGTAAGTTATATATATTTTCTAATGAAGCGAGTTCATTTTCTTCCAAATTTCAAAAGAAAAGTTGTTTAAGACTTTGCAAGAACTTTTTTTTCACGGACAGCGACTTTTTTGGTTTTGAATCATTTTATAGCATATTTTAGCGCAGATACATACTGTTAACAATTTTTCTAAATTCGGCGGATTTCTTTGAATCTTTTTTCGAGTCTCTTATTGTTATTAGATACTTAAGCTAATAACGGGCCTAATTACTGGAAACATGAAGCTGCCTACCTTTTGAATAGGCACCGTGTCCAATCTCCTCCTTGACGTCATACTGGTCCTCGATTACTGAGTGAACAGCTCTAGTCATCTTGAGATCTTTGTCTGAATGGTAGTATCGCTCGTAGATAGCTTTCTGCCTTTCAACACTAAAATCAGCGGTGAGATCTGGGTTGACAAAGGAGAACCCTTGGAAAAGGCGAGTTGCATTCGCTGATGCTGGAAAGGCAGGCGAGTCGCGAGGAGTCTTGCTTGTGAATTCGTGGTCGAAGTTCACCACCTCACTTGTGCATGCAGGTTTGAACGGTGGCTTGAGCTCTCGCTTGAACAGTTTATCCCAGTCAATTGTTGAGAAAAAAGGCTGGATTTTGATATCTGTTACGCCGTTAGGTCCGCTTCCGAGCCTGTTTGCGGGGTTTCTTTTAAACAGAAGTCTCAGAAGACCCTGAGCTTCTGGGCTGAGGTATTGCGGCATGCCCAATTTGGCTTTCAAGATCTGTTGCATGGTCTCTTTCCTGTTGCTTCCATGGAACGGCAATGAACCGGTCAACATTTCGAACATCAAAACTCCTAAATGGGGAAGTATTTTCATATGTAAAGTTACTCCGCCTTCTTGCAATAGATTGTTATAAAATCAACTTACCGTACGACCACCAATCAGCTGCGACTGTGTGACCTTTTCTGTTCACTACTTCAGGAGCCATGTATTCAACTGTTCCACAAAAACTATAGGCCTGAAACAATCGAACCGAAAAAAAATACACGTTTTTGTGTTTTTGTTCTGTATCCGGATGGATATATATTTTTAATACCAACCTTTTGGTCGGTGCCTACTGCTTCTTTACTCAGCCCGAAGTCTGTCAACTTTATGTGTCCATCAGTATCCAGAAGAATGTTCTCTGGCTTCAGATCTCGATAAATAATGCCCACTGAATGCAAATGATCCAAGGCGAGAGCCAGCTCGGCTAGGTAGAATTTGACATCTTGCTCCGTGAACATTACCTGAACAAAATTGCTGATGACGGTTTTAAGCTATAAAAGCAACTTGTTAATATTGTTGCACGGACCAATATAAAAAATGAAACTATCCGAGCTGAATTGCACCTACTAAGCTGATAAAAATTGAGCCGAATAGAAGGTAACCGAAAAAAATGATTAGTCATGAGACAAACGGGACCCATTAAAAACACGTTGACTCAGAAATTGCGCGTAGTGAAGAATATAATCAACGATCAACTAGCAAATTAAAATTGAGCAGTCAAAACATGGTGCCACCAACACTTTAATACTGGGACCACACTCAACCAATTGCCTGCTTCTTTTGTTGATGCTGAATCTTCTTTTGTTGATGCTGGATCCATAGAAGGTTTTTTGAAAAGCAGATTCCAGTAGTTGACGCAACTACTGGAATCTGCTCTTCAAAAAACCTTTCTATGGATCCAGCATCAACAAAAGCAATCAATTGGTTGAGTGTGCTCCCAGTATTAAAGTATACATTCCTTTCTTTCAATGAATCGGGAATGGGAGCTACCATATACTTCAAAACCACTCCTTTCATCTTTTTTCATTAATTTCTAAGCTCAAAATCATCCCGAGGTTCATGCAGGATGGGGAGATTGAAAAATAAATTCGATCGAATAACACACTCAGCACAAAACTAACACACAGCACAAAACTATCGAAAACTCAAATTGAGAGGTTTTAGTGTATCACACACCTAGACGATCACACGTCTCGAGATAGCTTCAAAACACTTGCGAAACAAAGCACACGTTGCGCTACAACATAGTGAATGCAAAAAAGGCAGATGGCAAAAAAATCTGAAAAATTATGTTGGAATAAATTACTAGAAAAAAATAACATGACAAAAGTTGAAAACATACAGCTACAAAAACTTCATTTCTGTATCAGGTGAAAATCATAACACAGAGGCGAAGCTGAGCTTCGCATCACTTGCGATACAAACCAAAAAATCGAAAAAAACTAGATCTATTCAAATAAACACGGCTAGTTTTAAAACAAAAACATGAAAAGACAATAGAATGTGTAAAAAGCATCGGAAGATAATGTAACCAGCGGTAGCAAAGCCGTAAATACCTTGTCAGAAACCCTTTATTGAGACATCTGAAAAAATAATAAGTCCGTCTCACCATCAAAACACTTTATTTTCTCGTCAGAAGTAACCAAATGAGCACACTAAGACGATAAAATATAGGCCGAAACCTATTGAGTCCAAAAAAAGGGAAAAAAGCCTAAAAAACAGCCGAAAAAACATTAAGACTAAGAAGATTTTAAGTCCCCCTCAACCTCAAAACACAGATAGGTACAAATAAAACTTTTCTTGCTCGTCGAAAGACGTAATATGAGGCCACTAAGCCGATACAACATAAGCCGCAACCTATCACGCCAAAAAATGGAGAAAAAAAGCAAAAACGCCGGAAAAATAATGTTATGAAGAACTATATTTTAATTTAAAAATTCAGCATTTCGCGCGATCCAGAGCTGAACAAAAAGTATGTTTCTCAAAATAAGGTCACTAAGCCGATAAAAATAGGCCGAAATAATTAGGGCAGAATCAATTTCTTAAGAAAAAAAATAAAAATTTACTTTTATACGAAGTCAATTTTAAAAATTTTAGTAAAATTAACAACAGCAGAGGTTAATCAAAACACCAGAAGCAACTATAATATACGAAAACTTTCTAAAAATCTATAATATGGCAACTGAGCCGAGAAAACATCAGCAGGCAATAATAGGCCGACAACTTTTTTGAAATGGACTATTTCCCGTTTGAAAAAAAAAACAGGACCGGTCAGTTTTGAACCCAGAACCTTTGCCGTCCCAAGCGTATTGGTTTTCTCCAGACTATGTGTGCCAGAGACGCTTAGAAATTCGAATTCATTTTGAACCAAGAAACCAATTGAGAGATTCTCTTTAACAAGTTGTTAATCCGAAAAAAGTCTTTATTATAGTGTGATAACGCTTGCTAATCCCTTAAAAAATGGAAATCACTTGACGAACTTTGTCATAAAAGTTTCATAAAATTAAAAAGCTTATACGACCTACCCTAACTGAAACACATAATACCAAACGGATATACTTTGCCCAAGAAACTACGCAAAATAAGTTGACTAGGTCGATAGTTTTGCACTTCTGAGGAGTGCAATCCTCTGCTTTAAGGGGTGCAAAAAACTTAAAAATACATCCAACATAGACAATTCTATCTGTGCTGTAATCGAGGAGGGTAGATTTTAATTCTCTTGATTCATTAAAATAGACTTGATTTATTCATAAAATTTTGTCGATGTATTTATATAGCGTTGGTATGGCCCGATCCAACCTGCGCACGTACCGTCGCATGACGGAAGGGCCCATTTTAATTGACCTATTTTTTTAACTAGGTCGATATAACTTAAACTGTTTGAAATATTTAAAAAGAATATTTGAATATTTTTTCGTTTTCTTCAAAAACGAAAACATGAAGAAAAACTCAAAACCAGACACGGTAAATTCACAAATTTGTTATAGTAAAAACCTGTTCAAATAAAGTAAAACCTGTTTCAGCATTTTTAAACACAACCCATGCTTTAAAAAGTAAACGAATAGAAACCCAACCAGATAAAAAAGATGTTTCAAAAAACAGAAAATGAACCGACAGAAATCGACTATCATAAGCAGAAATCGACTATCATCAAAGTGATATCATATTGTCAACAAAAGAGGCTTCATTCGGAACACCAGATCGTCGAACATAAAGTTAAACTGGAAATTGAACACCGAACTATCGAAAACTATAAGATAACCTGAGCATGAATATATCAGATGAATATATCAGAAAAAAAAACAAATAGTTTCACACATCAGAGCATTCTTAACAAAAAATCTCAGCTACTTGTCAGAATACCACCACTATTATAAGCAAACAAAATTAAAACTAAACAAAAAACCAGACGTATACTCACAATTTCGATCCCGGTAACTGGACTCAATTAAATAGTTATCATCAGACTAAACAACAATGAACCCAACATCAGCCCAAGTTGTTACATAGGACCACACGCCACCGAGCATCTTCATAACTGCCGGGTACAACCTACCTCCCTTACAACCGAGAGCTTATGGGAGAAACCCGAAGCTTCCAAACATCTGCAGCTACACTATCTCACATAACGGGGATTTAACTCGTTCCACTAATTAAGTACTTCCCGCTTCAACCGGGCATGAAGTTTCACTGAAAAACCTGGCCCCTAGAACCGGCACTTTTTCACCACATCGAAACTTCTACTTGAGCGTGCTACACAGAGGAATTGTCGACACAAGCACGAAGACGCTACCATAGGAACAAGTAGTTTCCCTTCGACGTCGGTTTTACCGCTGAGACACTGGGGTAACTGCAGAGATAGCTTGACAAGACGAATACCGATTATCAACCGATTGGTTGACGAGAGTACAGATTAAGAAAATTCTTCAGTATTTCTGTAAGACTGTTAAAAAATTTTATCTGGAAAAACGTCTACTATCCGATTTGATAATCGCAAACGTACCGTACCAATGCTCATTAAAAACAATATCACATTAAAATGGCTTCTGAGCTCATGTGTCTCTTAAAATGAGAAGATCCACTTTAAGATGACATTTTCAGCAAAATGTCGAGTACACGTTTCCAATGACTGTGCTGATCGCGCGTCCCACCAAATACTCCAGAAATGGCAGTTCTTTTTTTCAACAAGATAACCTGTTGTTTTGCAAGTGGAACAGAATTGTTCCATCCCTATTCATCTGTGGAAAAGGTATAACATAGATTAAAAAGTAGCATGAATTTTTGCTAGCCTTATTTACGTGTTAACCCATGCTTTTTGTAACTAAATTTAGAAAAACAGGAAGAAGAAAACATATCGTGGCTCTGAAAAAAACTGGTTGAACATTTTGGCATGGCCATTTAGTGACAGATGCATGACTATTTATTTAAATTCACAATTTTTTTTCAATCAAAACTGAATAAAAGCTAAGTTTATTTTTTTTTGTTGAGCACAGAGGCGAAACTTTGCTTCGCAAACTCTTGCGAGAACATAACAAAAGTAGCTCTGAAAAAAGCAATAATAAAAAGTAGAAATAAGCCTCGAATTAGTAGAAATTCGGCTACTTCTGAGAATCGAACCTGCCACCAAGAGACTAAGAGTCTCGCACACTAACCACTCAGATGCTATGCAATTTCTAATGCTACAGAGCTATGCAATTTCCAATACTACAGTGAAATTTCCAAATAAGTGAACCTTTTTAAGGAACACTTTTTTCGAGTTATGATAGAAAAAAGAAGGTTCGTAATAACACACAATGCCGATCACAAGTGTAGTGAAATTGATCGCCATAGTGTTGTGGATAGAACTCTTCTACATATTTACGGTGTTTTATGTTTTTAGACACGCTGATGAAATTATTAACTCGAGAACATTTTGACTATTGACTGTTTTTCTCGTGGAACTAGAAGTATTATCATGAAATCTGATTGGCTAAAATGTAATCGAACATCTTTGTTGAGAGGAAGGCACCACTCAAGGAGATAATTTAGCGATGGCATTTTATGCGCTGACCTTGAAAAAACTTATGCTCCTTGTCAGTCTAAACAAAATTGGGTGTCATCAAGAGTGGTTCGCTGACGACGCCGGAGGCCTTGGGAAGCTAGTTCAACTCCGTGAGTGGTTTGATCTTTTGACCAGTATCGGCCCCAAGCTTGGGTATTTTCCGCAACCGTCGAAATGTTGGTTAGTAATAAAAAGCGAGGCTCTCCGAGAGCAAGCCAAGCAGGTCTTTGAGAACACGAATATCAACATCACAAGCGAAGGACGTCCATACTTGGGAGCGGCAATTGACAGCCAAAACTTCACAAACGACTATCTACGAGACAAAGTTGAAGAATGGTCGAATGAGTTGTCTTCGCTGGAAGCAGCGGCCAAAACGGAGCCCCATCTTGCCTATATTGCTCTCGTCAAGGTGATCCAGAG